ATGATTTTTTACACAAACGTTACATGATTTTTTTACATAGACTTTACAAACCTAAACCGCGGTTCGTCACAAAATCCTTTTTTGTTTTATAGAAGGAAGAACCCGCTATAAAACCAAAGGCCACCCTTGGTAAACCCGAGGTGGCAAAGGTATACGACACGTGATATAATTTTTTTACAAAGCACTTTACAAACATAAACACGACTCGTGACGAGACCTCTGTTTTTTTAGAAGGAAGAACCCGCCACAAAACCCAAAACCACACTACTTGGTAAACCCGAACAGGCGAAGGTACATGCAATCTCTCGTTTGGCAAATTTACATGTAACACACACCACACATCTAACTATCTGCAAGGATAAATAATAATTCTTAATAGTAAAAGATTTTAATAATCATCACTTGCCTCTCGAAGCGTTCTATTTTACTTCGTATACGATCACGTTCCATCATTCGAATCATAATAATAATAATTTGTACGAACGTACGCGTCATCTAATACCGTTTCACGTAATCTTGTCATCGCGTAAACCACAGCACGAATCATGGAAGATGCAAATTTATGTGTATTATTTTTTTTCCAGCAGAAATTATGCCTGTATCATCGTAACAATGAACGTAACAAATGTTTTCTTTCAGCAAGAGCTAAGCTCGTATCATCGTAACATAAAATATAACAAATCATTTAATTACAGCGTCAAGTATAGGTGTTTAAATATTCTCGTGTTACATCTTTTAACATTTTTCTTCGTTTGTTTACAGGCAGAGGAACAACCCAGGAAATTCAGTCTCAAACCTGTAGCCAAGGTAATTACTGCGATTAGAACATATATCGTCTTCGTGCGAGCGTACTGTATATTCTTAACTTCCGATTATTTGTTTAAATTATAGCCCGAGGAGGAAAAGAAGACTCTCAATAAAGTAGAACTCAAAGTGAGTATTTCGTTTATTTTCATCGCGTATTCGTATACGAACACGTCAACGATTTGTTTTTACTTGATAAAATAATTAATTCATAAAATAACGCGCGTAAATTGGAATTAGTACCGCACCATAAACGATTGTCTCAAATAAGCAATGATATTAAACGCAGCCACAGACAATCACCGCGGACGAGGAGAAGTCAAGGCTGCGTAAACCACCGAAACACGAACTTAAAACCGACAGCTTTCAGGGTATTCAACTTAAACCGGTTTCCAAGGGGCCTAAACAGCCCCAGCAGGCTGAAAATGGCACTATTGAGCTAAAGGTATCCCTGCGAAAGGGAATCAGTATAATTATCCTCTATCTCTGTGCATCTATGTGTTGAATATGTACACACACCCACTCTTCTTCGTCTGTTCTCGATGTACGATTATTTCTACTCTTCGTGTGATTACGAACAATTTACCTTTCTCCTAATCTTCTACGAACACACACTTTCTCTCAATATCTACTATCTTCCGCTTCCTCTCTCGTTCTCTGTGCTGACAAACAAAAACTCCTTCGAGAGTTTCTATATGTAATTTTTCTCTTAATCTTCTACAAACACACTTTCTCTCAATATCTACTGTTTTCCGCTTCCTCTCTCGATCTCTGTGCTGATAAACAAAAACTCGTCCGAAAGTTTCTATCTACAATCTTTCTCTTAATTTTCTACGAACACACTTTCTCTCAATATCTATCATCTTCCGCTTCCTCTCTCGTTCTCTGTGCTGACAAACAAAAACTCTTTCAAAAGTTTCTATCTTCAATCGTTTCTTGTTCGTTCTAGCCTTCCTTTTCACTTCCTGCTACTCGTAAGGGAAGACAATTGGAAAATTCAAAGAAAGTGGAAAATCTGAGAAAACGAGCTTGATATTCCACGATACAGCGAGCAAATAGTTTTCTTACTGTATTCTAGGATATCAGAAACTAGATTTCTACCAAGTTTTCAAAGAATCCAGCTGAATAAGGATTGGCAATTGGCCCCCACCCCAATTTTCATTGCTATTACGTGCCGCGCATATGCATAGCTGTAACGATCGCGTAGTGTGTCTGACATACATTGTCTCATTCTCCTTCAGCCCGTTGCACGAGTCGTAACGCATGGGATTTTGGTTTCTTTTTAATTATTTAACCATGTTCCAGAACTTCGACCGTTCCGAAATTTTTACATGTGAAACTCACAGGGTTGTTTGCAATTACCACCCGCAAAACATGAATTATTTATTTTCTACCCTTAATAATTAAATAAATACTCTGAAAAGAATATATGAGATGTAGTTTATAAATACGAATATTTTCGTTTTTCCAGAATTCAAGGGTTTGTGGAATGATGTTTTAGGTCAAAAGCATTGCACGGCGTATAATAGCAATGAAAATTAAGGTGGAAAACCGATTGCCTATCCTTATCCTGCTAGACCCTTTCTGAATTTTCCTTTGCCAGACTTCCCTTGGACCACTCTCTACGCTTATACTCGGTGTCTCTGTTCGATGTGATCGATAACAACGATGCTATCGTATCTGTACTATTTTTCACAAGTCGTTTCCTTCCTTTCACGCCTAATCATTGAAAAAAAAAAAACAAACAATAGTACGTTCATGCGATAACAGGACTGATTATCGGTAGCCACCGATACTTCACGAGACTTGGGATCAGCCTCGACTAATTAAAAACATTTACAGCGATCAAAGTGATCCCGAACGGAGATCGTCCACTTTGCGACGACGAAATGACCATAATACGATGTGACCCGCTTTCGTCAAATTTACTCTCTTCTTTACTATCGTCAATGTTACTCCATCTACGACTTGTTTTTGCGAACGGCTTGAACTTTAACGCTCAGAAATACAAGAGTGTCGTCTAAGTTACGCGCGGGAATTAATTGATATCCGATGACGCGTAGAAAACCGAGAAGGCCGAGAAGGTCGAGGTTAAGAAGATGAAGACGGCCAAGACAGCAAAGGAGAGCAGCTACGAGCTACCAGAGATCCCAGACTACGAGAGGCCGGTACTGGAGAAGCCCCAGGAATTCGACTTCGGCGATCACGTGGCTCGTGACAAAACCAAGCTCGACAGACCCACTACTCAGGTAAGGAACCAATTAACATTCGACGTCACCTTTAAAATTAAGAACGAAATTAACCCTTTGCACTCGAGCCCTTTTTTTCTGGTATCTGCCAGCAACTCGAAATGTTTCTATTGCCATGAATTCTAAGCTATCTAGATTTGAGAATATGGTCACCAAAGGTTCGAGCTCCAAAGGAATTAAACCTAAAGACACATTAGGTATTGTAGGTTTGCTGCGTAAAATCTAATGGTGACTGAGAGTCACCTCTCGAGTGCAAAGGGTTAATCAGTTCCAAAGAAACACACGAATCTGTCCAAGCGTTTGTCACTCAATCGATAACGATACTATCGTTTCGAAATACGTAATCTCGTATGCCCGAGTGTCGCAGTAACTAACGATGTTCTTCTTTTTTCACGCGGACGAGCAGAAATTCGAGTCTAAGGTGAGTAATCGTTCGTTATTAATACGAAAATGAGAAAACCATTTTGCCAAGCTGCTGCTCGCGCTGTATCCAAGAAAATGCAAGAATTTTGCAATCCCCCGGCCAAAAGCGGTTCGATCGAGGCCCCTTGAAATTGATTGCAGAACGACGATCAACCCCTTGCGCTGCGATTCTTAGTTCGACCCGTTACCAGTCGTTTAAATCATATTTTTAACGAGATCGCGCTTCACTCGTTCGTTTTATCGTCGTGGCTGACCTCGTAGCGGAAAGGGTTAATCTTCAACGCGATAATGTTCCATCCGAGCACTGCCAACATCGACGCGGCATCGTTCTATCGTCTCTCTGGTTCCGCGAGCAACATATTTCCCGCGTCCTCGGGTTCCTCTTCGGCGCATGAATCAAAAATTGCGATCATCAGGCTGGCGAGGGCCGTCGCGGTGCCGGTGACACGAAAAATCCTTGCAGCCGGACTGGCAACGGTCCTGGGGTCCGTAATTTCTGTTCTCGATCGAAGATTATCGCGCGCGCGACGCAAATACCCTCGGCGGCCGCCGTTCGATACGCGGCTAACCGCAATTAACGCGACACGATCGTAGAACGAGAGGTAGCCTAATAATCGGACGAGTTCGAGCCGCGGCTTTGGCAAACGATGAATG